CTCCTGCCCGCCTTCTATTGAAAACCTGCAGTGACGTCAGAGTATATTTCTGGAGTTCATTGAAATGAAATATATCAAATTTTTCATTTAATAACTGAAAATACTTTGCTCTACCTCTCATCAAAAATAAGTTCAATTGTTTAATATCACTCATCAAAGGTAGCACAACTTTCTTCAAACGCTTGTTTTTTAATTTACTTTCAGTAACGGTTTTGTTAACAGTTATTCCAAAGTCTACTTCCAGAAGTTTCACAAAATTGTCAACCGTTTCCTTCTTAACAAAGTTTTCTTCTTTGATCAGCTCAGTTACAAAAACATTCGCACATTTCTTCAACAATGTTCCAGCAGTACTAGCAGTAGATGGAGCTCCATAATGTTGAGAGGTATCATTCAATTTGGAAATCACCTGAATGGCCTTGATTATATTGTCATACTGTTTCGGAGTGAAAAGACTGGAAATATCTTGAACATTGAAATCAATCATTTTTACTTCATGTAGAATTCTGCCTATGAGTCGGATTTTACTTCTTATCATCGGGTGATGGTGTGGTTTCGGAAATTTCACTGTCAATTTATTTGCATACGTGATGACTAAGTCATCATATCGTAAAGGACTGGTAGTGTTATCCTATCTTAATATAGGAAATATATTATTCCTTACTATAGAGTTACCTTTAGGGCTAATATCGTTTCGAATTTTTCTTCCCAGAACAAGAACATTTCGTTGATTTGATGAATTTTTAATTTGATCGCCATCTGAACATTTCCTAAAATGTTTTCTTATTGAGACTTTAGAGTAATACCCCAAACATTTTGCACAGGGGACATATTCCTCATGGTTTACATTTTCTTTACGTGTTCTTCTCGTCGTAATAATACTTCCCGTATTGTATATGAAGTCCTCATTGTGTTGAAAATTTTCCTTTTTTTCTGATAACTGCAATAATATTTTTTCTTTCTGGGCAATCTGGTAAAAACATTTTGAATTAATGTCACCTTTACTAGTTTCAATTCGGAATGCATAACTATTTTTCATTTGAAATGACATGATATCAAAATTGTAAATATGTGTGTGTGAGCTTTTTTTAAACTAATCCAACAAGCTTTTTTAATCTTTCACATTTGTTTAAAATAATACATGCATTATTCTGATTTTCCTATAAAGTTTATCCAATATAGTTGAAACAATTTACATTTACACTATAGTAAACTAAAACCAATTGAAAATTTGAAAGTGTATCTCTAGATTTGTCAATTAAGCAATATAATTTGTAGACCGAAAAAGTTGAGCACAAATATAAGATTGATATTTTTGAAAGTAAATGGATACATGAATACTCACTTT